TTTGCCACACTAGCTCACTAACTCCTTGTTCATGCCTGGTTTGGTTTTCAAAAATGTTTCCTTGCACGTGCTAATCCCCTAAAAGTATCCAAAAAGCAGAAGACCATTTCATGGTGAGTTTATTTTCTGTGAGACAAAAATCAAGATGATTCAATTTCTTATTTTGTGGACTGATATACGTAACCAACAAAATACATTTTAAATCTTATTAAAATCCAGATTTAATTCAAGATTTCTTTAGTCTATTAGCCTACCCCTAGAAATATTCTTTTTATAGATTTTAATTATCCCAAAATTACAAATAAATGGTATACAAGAAAGCCCTCTTCAGCACTTAATGCTGTTTACCAACAAGATTTATTTTTTTTAATGAGAAAATAAAAATTTTCTAAGGCAACTTTCAAAAACATCTGTTTTATTTCTCTAAGACTGCCTAAGCACAGGTGTTTCATACTGGGAGTTGCTGCTACACTAAGGACATTTAGCCAAATGTCCAATCTGATGATACAGATTAAGCCACAGAAAAGCAACTCAAACGGAATTCAAATCATGAAATGAACACTCTTCTCAGATGGTGGAAAAAAGAATTAAATAAATGCAATGATAGAATAAAGGATGGTAATAACAAAATACATAATGTAGAGGTCTTTAACTGCTCTGAAACCCCGTATGGTATTGTACTGTATATTACCGTTTGCTACTTAATAACAAATCAGAAAAGATTACTAAATTATAGGCAGGAAACAAGCTACATCAGGACTGTAACCAGGGCAAAATCTTAAGCAAGAGATTAACCCAGTTACCTTTCTTTCAACTGCTCAATGCTTTTCAACATTGAAAACAAATTCTTGACCCACACTGAATGCTGCTCTCCCTTAGAAGTGAAGACAAGGAGTGAGGTGGGGGACAGCAATAATGGTAAGTGAGGTGTTTGCATAAACAACACATTTATTTTAATTTTATCATTACAATCACAAATGTTTAATAGCCTTTCACAGTAGTCAGAGCTGTCCTGCAATTATCACTGTGGGTAGGAAATGACACATACCTGTCCAAGTCATGTGTATGGATTTGGCAAATACCATTGCACATACTTATTTTCACTCTTCTAATTTTGCAGTTTCTTGGGCAACTCTCCATTGCTTTATACATCTCCAGTAGACTGCTCAGCTTAAGTTGCTTAACGCTGACACACAGACAGAAAGGAAGAAAAAACTTGTTACTCATCATGTCATTATATGTATTGAGAGAGCTGAAGAACAAAAGACCAGGAGCTACTGTACTTTGTAAACGAAAGTTTCTCTCCATTCATTATGCTGCATTCAGAAGCAGATTTCAAAATTATTCAGTTTTACTCATAACAAAGTTTCCTCACATCTGAAAGGTGCCAGAGCAACTAGCATGGTGCAGGAAGCAACAGACTCACACGAACAAAACGTGTACCTACACAATTATTCAGCAACCAACGTCCTACTGCACTTTTTGTTTCTTCCTAGACACTGTTTTCTTAAGAACAAGACTAGAGTGGAGAAAGGAAATAAAACCCTACATTATTTTTAAAAGTGGAACAGATGATGCTAAACTAAATACTGATGAGATTTGCGAGCAGTTGCAAGAGAAGCTGTACACGGCTATACACAGGTAAAATGGCGACACCCAGTGGGAGCAGTACTGCATAAAACAGCTCCAATAAAAGGGCTGAAAAGACGTTAACCGAGAAGTAAGACAACTTCATGTTTGCACTCTAAAAAATGAATTAGTACTTACTTAAAAATAACTTGCCTATTTTTGTGAGCAGCTGGACTAAGCTGTGAGAACAGCTGCTGTGAAGAGTTCTGCCATTTGCAGGGAAGTCCCAGCAGACCCTAAATTCTGCTCTGCACTGCTTAGGGGCAGCACTGCAGGCCTTGCCCCAGGACAGCTAACATAGCTCCTGGAGCATCAAGCTGAGCAGGCAGATCCAGCAAACTAAGAAGGCATCTAAGAAATCAGTAGCAGAAAGAAGAGCAAAAAAGTGTAATTAATAAATAAATAAATAAATAAATAAGGTGAGGTCTGATATGTCCAAAGAGAGAGAAGTTTGTAACATGATAGACTCTAACAGAAAGATGTATCAAAGCCCATTTCCTTAAGCCTTAAGTAACCTTACTTACTTAATTCTTAGAATAAAATAGCTTACCCAACGAATTGGTTTCTTTTCACTTTTTCCAGAAAATGAGTAGCCAAAGTCAAAATAAAGAGAAGCTACAAAGTCACTGAGCCACAATTCCCTGGAGAGGACCATACCAAGTCAACAAACTGAGCCAGAGACTGCTTCTAAACTGAACTGTGGGCCCCTAAGAAATCACAGAGAACCATCTACCCCAAAAAATAATGTTTTGTTTTGTTTTTTATGGAATAATGCCCTGTTCAGGTACACAAATTGCTAGAAACCAGGTTTATTGTGCTCCTTAGCCTTAACTGGTATTACTGTATCATTTGTCAAGCTTCAAGCAAGTACTCACTACGTCAAACTAATGGTTATGTGAACATGGATCAACATCTTATTTTCCCCTTCTCAAAAGTTAACATGACAAGAGACCATTATTACAACATCTCTGAACAGTTTGGGGCATACCCTTAGTATCTCCTCTGTTGTTTTATGGAAAATTTATCCTGCATAATACCTACAGTTTATTTAGACCACAGAAAAAAGAGGGGAGGGGGGAAGCACTGTTAGTGTTCAAGCATTAGCTCAAATGAATAAGCGAATAAATGCAACCATAAACTCCATCTTGCATTTATTTGGTTTTGACATTAGGCACAATGTACTTCTACTTTTCAGACTGAAAGAGGTGTATAAATCCAATTCTGATGAATCTACACCAAAAACAGAGTACAGAAATACAGAAAGGATGTAGTTAAAAAGATGATAGTATGGACATTCCTTTACTTTTCTAAGGAGCTCAACATCATCAACTGGTTTTCTATAAATACTGTAGCACACTTAATCTCCCTGAATTTCAGGCCTTTCAGCTGAACTCACTCCAGGTAAGCAAATTATCATTCCCAAAGAAACATCACTGGGACCACAACACATGCAGGAATCACAATTTGAACCAGAAGAGCCCAATGGCTTTAAGGCACAGGCCAGGTGAACACCAGAGTCAATGTCATCACCCTGGGACACTGTAAGCATCTGACCCTTCGGGGAAACAAACAGCCTCCTCTCCTACCTCATAATCCTACAGAGGGGAACCAGTTCCCTCAAGACACAGGACACGAGCCACCAACCTTCCCACTGGCCAAGCCTGACCCCACAGCTTCCTATCAGGCCATGTGACAAAACCCAAAAGCCAAAGAACACTGCCCACAGCTGTGACTCTTCTAGTCCACAAATACCCTCATTTGCTGTTCCCATTTTCTCATCACACTGAATGCTGTGAAGATGAACTAAATTTATACTCAAAATGTATGATGCTGTAGTATTATTTAAGCACAAAAAAAAAAAAAAAAAAAAGATAATATATAGTGGGATTCTCATAAGTATATTACTTTAAAAAAAAAGAATGTAATTTTCTTAAATACAGCAATTTTTCATGACTTGTGTTATTTCACATCCTTAGCTGGACAGGAGTTTTCTCTGGTTACATATGAAAGCCTCAACACATAGATTTTAAGAATTTAGAGCAAATGTAGTCCTGCACATTCCTCTTTCTCTCACAACTGTGTCTTCAAAATTGCAGATGTTCTATTTAAAAAAAAAAATCTTTCCAAAATGTGATTTTTACAATAAAAATCAGACAAGATCCAAACCTGTCTTTCCATCAATGGCTCGATAAAACCATTAAAACATATGGCATGTGCATTATCTTGCAGTCTCTTTTTTTACTGGATAGAATAACATTAAGCTCCCTTCATCTGTTATATGAAGAACAATAAATTTTAGGGATTTAAGCAAATAGTTTTGTTTGTTTGTTTTTGTAAATAACAACTTTGGAAAAAAAATAATTGATATGAATGAGAGAAATTAAAAACAAACAAACCAACCAACCAACCTGTCTGGGTTTGGATAATATTCCATTTTATTTTCTAACATTCTAGCTAAGCAGTTCACTCAAACTGCTGAGCATTTACACTGACAAGAACAAAATTCCACACAGTTTAATTCTAAGACTGTATTAACAGCACTACTGCAAACAGAATCTACCACACTTAACAAATGCACTCCTAGGTATAGACAACCACCTTGAGGTAACAATAGTCCTGAACTCAACAGGAACCATCACTTTACAATTACAGATTCTCAACAGTCTGGAATAGTTTTTAAAATATATATATTATTTTTATATTCTATGTGGTGAAGACCTCTTTATACACCAACAGAACTTGGCACCTTCAAAAAAAAAAAAAAAATAGACCCAATTCTGGCTCATGGGAAAGATGCTGAGATTTTTATTTCTTAAATTCACTTTCCTGCATGTCTGCAAAAGAAAGGCACGATTAAAATGCTTTTTAAGGCGCAATATACTGTTTATTGTAACTACTAAATAAAACTATCACTAGTACACCACATAAACAGTGGTTGAAGATGTAAATTGTATGTTCCCAGAACAAACTGAATAGTCGAGATGATAACCAGGTTTCAGTCTCTGACAGAATCATAGTATCATTTGAGCTGGAAGAGATCCTTAAGGCCATCTGGACCAACTGCCCTGCAGGGAGCAGGGACACCTACAGCTCGATCAGGTTGCTCAGAGCCCCGTCCAGCCTGACCTTGAGCGTTTCCAAGGACTGGGCTCCCACCACCTGAGAAGGGCTATGATCTGCGCCCCTGAAGAGGATGAGGAATAACTATCCTCAGCGACGAGAGGTACGCTTACAGCTTCACACTCTTGCATCTACAAGAGCAGCTCACGGAAACCGAGTTCTCGCTGCCCAGCCCGACCCGCTACGACAGCTGCCACCCCCACCCCTCGCTGCCCGCTCCAGCGGGGCGGAGCGGCGGGCCCCGCCCTTACCTTCCCAGAGCAGCTGGCCGCCTTCCCGCCGCAGGAACTTGTACCAGAAAGGGCTGGCGGTGTCCTCGTCCGACAGCAGCACCTCCCCCAGCCACAAAACCGGCTCCTGGGCCGCCAGCGCCGCGGCCGGTCGGGCCGGCTGCATGGGCACGGCGCGCTGCGGGTCCCATTCGCCCAGCTCTGGCCGCGAGCCGGCCACCAGCAGCGCGCCACCGCCCTCCGCTATGCGGGCCGGCAGCACCACGCCGAAGCGGAACAGCATGGCGGACCGCGCCGGACCGAGGGCAGCGGGCGACCGGGTGGGGGGGAGTGAAGCCGTGCCGCCGCCAGGGGCCGCCCCGCACCCTCACTTCCGGCGGGGGGACCGGGGCGGGCGGGGCGCTCCGGCTGGGACCTGGAGGGGACGCGTCGGCGCTGCCCGCGCGTTAAGGGCTCGTCTCGCTCACGGAGCTTGGGTACAGCGTGACCGAGCACTCGAGCAGGGTCCTAGCGAGGTGGTTGGTCGGTGCTCAAGAGACCTTAGGATAATTACCTCACTAATAGGCTTTAACCTTTGGTTAGTCCTAAAGTGGTCAGGCAGAAAAGTGGTCAGGCGGAAAATCTGCCGAACTGCCCTACCCTACCCAACTCAACGTGTCCCACCCCCAGACCGAACGGCGCGGAGCTGTGTCAGGGGAGGAGCAGCTAGGGGTCAGGGAAAGGGGCTGCACCACAGAGCGGTGGGCATGGAACGGGCTGCCCAGGGCAGCGAGCACGGCACCGAGTGCCGGAGTTGAAGGAGTTGTTTCACGTTGCTCTCATAGGGTTTGATTCTGGGAGGGGCTCTGTGGAGCCAGGGGTTGGATTCGGTGGTCCTTGCGGGCCCCTTCCAACTCGGGGTATTCAATGCATCTATGACTGTTACCTCAGCAGGTAAATAATGAAGTGAGGTTGCAAAAGGTTGCACGTTATGTATATTGACTTTAGCAAGTGTTACTGCTTTGTTAAATGAAGCTGCTGCAATTACTCTGGAGAGACTGAATTTAGTGCAGCAAACACCTCATTAAATCACTGCTACACCTACAGTGTTACAGTCTCAAGGTTTGGTCCCAAGTAACACGCTTAGTGCTCAGGATAGTTGTACCTTCTCTGTGGGCAGACAGACACCAGCCATGGTGAGACCAGAAATGTGAGGGGCTGGGGGTGGGCAGCAGGTGGTAGACAGCTCTTTAAGAATTCTGCAGCTCCCTATTGCCTGCATTCTGGCTTGCCCTTCTGGCTGTAATTTGGCAACTCCTACATGGAGGAATATTCAGGACTTGCAAAGACTGAGGGAAAGGATGCGATCCAACCATTTATAGGACAGTCCTTGTCTGAATACACCCATTTCAGAAGCGTTTAAAGACAGAAACAGAGAAGTAGTAACTTTATTTAGGTCAAGTTCTGGGAACAGGATGAAGGCCTTTCAGTGAGTCAAAAGAAATCCTGCCTCAAAAGGTGGCTGCTTGTTTCCTGTGTTCAGTGGTGATGACACACTGTAGAGTATGTACTGCCAAATTTATTTTTAAGAATGCTTGAGCTCATTTTCACTGATCCTAATTCAACTTTTGTAAGTGATATGCCACCACTGTTCCAGACATAACCAAAGTGAAGGGGATTCTGGCAGTCCTCCATGCATTTCTGTTAGCACCAGCCCTCCTCCTAGCCCTGTTGCTTTTGTGGAACAAAGCAACACTTTTTAATCCTTGTTTTTGCTCAACCTTACAGTCAAGCTACCTGTTATCTAATAATTATCTTTCAAGTATCTACCCTTGTAGCATACACTTTCATTTTAGTATTATGGGCAATACAGAGAGTAATGATAAATTTTCTACCCCAAATGTGACAGTAGCACTAAACGCATCTTGCGTCTACATAAAACCCCAGAGTGGTGGTGGAGTCACCATCTCTGGAGTTGTTCAAGAAAAGGGTGGATGTAGCAGTGAAGGACATGGGTTAGTGGTATGGTGGTAGTGGGTTGATAGCTGGACTGAATGATTTAGAGGTCTTCTCCCACCATAATAATTCTGTGATATGCAGCTGTTCATTCCAGCACCATTTGAGCTAAGAAGCTGCAGGATCCAGCAATGCATCTGATAATTTAATTCCTGGCTGTTAATGTAAAAAGACCAGCAACATATATGTACCTTTAAAAAAGCTTAACTTCTTTATGTACCAAACCCTCATCATAGACCTGCAGGTGAAGCAATAAAAAATATATTTTTAGTCTTGTGCAAAATACTAGCTGTCAAAATAATTCAGTCCATTTCTTCTCCATATTTCACTATAATTCATTTTGTACGCACCAACATTGGCTGTTGGATTAAGTTTAAAAATAGCAGGGAATGGCATGCTTGAGTTCCTACACTTTCCTCAAAAACTCACTCAAGATAAACGTTGGGGCTGAGAGAGGTAGATGATTGTTTATTAGTTGTGGGTCTCCAGACTATACCTAAAAACTGAGGGGCAGTTTTGGCAAACTAGTAAGTGAGGACTGAATATCTTGGATTTTCAACAAACTGGATTGTTTCTCAGGTGGCTATAGGTTTTCTGACTGTGATTATTATACTGTAATATAGATATAGGGCTAACATTGAGAGTTAAAACAAGAAAGGCTGAAAAGTGATTTATTTCTGGTTCCTGCAAGATTGAGATAAGAGCCAGAAGTGGAGATTGGCTGTGACTCTGAAGTTCTATGGGTTAAGAACAGCAGGGATAGAAAAAAAAGTTTTTATTGATGGATACTACCAAAATGTGAGGTGTAGACAGAGTGAGGTTTGTAGACAGAATGATATGGGTCATCATTAGATCTAAGACTATGTAAGTAAGACTGTGTAAGTACCATAAGGTTTGGCTTCAAGCTCAGAAGTAAATGTTCACTGCCAGTTTTGAGTAGTCTATGGATTTCTCATCTCTAAACTGGTGTTTTATCAAAGAGTCAAAGGCTGAAGGGGCAATAGAGAACATACATGTGCTACCGTAGTTGGATATTGCAGAAATTGAAGAAATACTTTCACTTTTGGGCCATTGCTATCAGCCTAAATTTACTTTTATGCATGACCCTAAGCCTCCTAAGGAATTAATGATAAACCAATTTCCTTTGCCAAAATACTTTATCCTCATACCACATGACCAGCACTCTTTCCCTGCAGTCCTTAACACTGTTCTCAAACCTAAAAGCCTTTCCTGTAAGCCGGTCATCTTCAACAGCCACAAATGTAAACAGGACCATTCCCTGGTTTTGCTATATTAAGTCCCCATTCCAACTCAGCATGGTCCCATCGAAAAGCTTTGGCATAAAGATGCCAAAACCCTCATAATTAAATTGCTTTTAGCTGTCCCAGAAGCTGTTGTTTTTATTCATGTGGGAATAAACTACCATATGAGAGCACTGTGGCCCATCTGATTCTGGTAATTGATACTGTGCCTTTGTGTCCTTGTTGGCTCTGAAGGCTGTAGCATTATAGTCAGAGCTGCAGCTCTGTGTGCCTAGGCCTTCCTCAAATCTAACAATAAACGGCAACACAGTGATGTTTGTGTTTTCCTTATGCTACAGAAATCCTTATGATTTCTTATACTGTCTCTTCCTGACATAAATTGTTTCATGAACTCAGAGCTCTGAAACTTTTATTATGTCCATGAAACTTGGAAAGTTAATTCCTTACACAGAGAGAGAATTGCTGGCTGAAATTATAATAAAGACACTAACCAAGAAGTTTGACAGTCCACAATTCAGCTTTCCAAGTTGAATCTGCACCATAGTCTTCTTATATGAAAAGTGTCTACTAAATACAGAAACAGAACATGGCAGTGGACACTACTGAAGTGGCAGATGAACTTGAATAATTCTGTGGCAAGGCAGCCTCTGTCTGTAGCATGCATGTTCCTTAGTGATTGTAAACTTTTACACCCTGGGCCTGTTTGCTGCCTGGCACAGCTTTATCTGCTGTTGCTGAACAGTGATCTCAAACAATAATATTTCCAAGTAGGGAAATCTGTAGCGAAGGCAGAGCTTGAAAAACAAAACCAAAACACAAGATATCAAAAGGATCTGGTTAGAGAAGAGATGACATTTAGATGTGTTTTCTTTTTCCCCCAATTGCACATTTTGGCTGATGTGCTCCTTCCTAGACTAGACTTTACTCCCTTTTTTGGTCATTTTCTTTCTTGTACAGATATTGAGAAAGAGTTACTGCGATTTCTAAATGTTTTCTCTAATTATAGAAAAGAGGCAGCACACTGTAAAAAGAAATCCATGTATGTTATGTGGTAAAATCTGAAGACAGAAAGAATTTTAAATACTTTAAGATCCTATTACCAGATAAACACTGCTATTCCAACTTCTTCATTTTAGTTGCTGCTTCAGAGGAGTGATAACTCCATTTACTGTTTTAGCTGCCTAGTGCTAATAGCAGTCTTTTATGCAGGCTAAGCTAAGAAGTTGTAGCGTGACTAACCATTTTAGGAATTGTGTTGGAAAATAATATTGAAATGATAGATGGGACACTGCAGGAGATTTTTATCATTTTTGCAGTTTTGTGTAGCATATTTCCTTACAAAAATAATAATTTCTTATTTTAACAGTAACTGGTTAGCATAAATATGCAATAACATTACAGTAACACATACAGAAATAACCGGTATAGTGGGTTTGTTTTTCAAAATCCAGTAGAAATGACAAGCCATCATCTCTGCATCTTTCCCAGCCTGAAATGTTTGAGGAGCACTAGAAAGTCCCAATATATTTCACCAGAGGGCCCTTTCAGTATGCTGTATCAGTTTCATCAATGCTCGGATACCAACAAATGTTGCAAACAAACCCAGAACGCAGCTCAGTTCCTACTTTAAGCAAAGTGATTCACATAGCTCTTGGAGGGATGCTCTTGGCCAGCCTAATGTATTTCTTGTGGAACATCTGCACCAGGGAATCACAGAATTGCAGAACCATAGATGTCTTGAGTTTGAAGGGACCCATAAAAATCGAGTCTGACTCCTGACTCCACACAGCACCATCCAAAATTCAAAGTGTGAGAGCATTGTCAAATGCTCCTTGAACTCCAAGAGCTTGGGGCTATGACCAGTACCCTGGAGACCAGTTCCATGCCCACCTCACTCTGGTGAAGAACCTTTTCCCATCCCCCACCTGACCCTCCCCTGACGCAGCTCCATGCAGTCCCCTCAGATCCTGTCTCTGTCACCAGAGATCGGTACCTGCCTCTCCTAATGGCTTTCTCCCACCCACATCCTTACCACTCACTCTGGCCCAGCGCTCCCCAGGCTGCCTCTGTCCATGTGGACAGTGATTCTATTCAGACCCTGGAGTGCTGCCAGTTCCCAGTGGGGCTCTGCCTCCCCTGGGGTGTCCCTGGCTCAGGAGCCCTCTGGACCCCACCATCCCTACACAACGCATCTGTGCTGGGGCGATGGCCTCAGTGAGTGAGGTGCATCCCAAGCCCATCTGGAGCTCTGGCAGCCCTTGCATCAGTGTGGCCTTTCTGCCTGGCACAAACAGGCAGAAGACAGGCCAGGGATTTACTCAGAGGGCTTGAGTAAATGCTTAGTGGATAGTAAAGATTTAATTACTGCTAAGTACCTTGATGTTCTCAAGTGCAAATCAGTATGTAACAATAAATGGTTGCAATACTAAACTCATTATAAGGTACACTGTTTGAAACTGGCCTTTTACAACCACTCTTGAGTAAGAGATCAAGGAATCATCTTTAAAACACACGTAAAGCCGTAGGAGGAATTAAAAAAAAATTCCAGAAATCACCCTGCTTACCCAGCTGTCCTACCACATACAAGAAAAACCAATTGCACCACCAGCCAAAGCTAGTAAAGAAGTAGATTTAACACTTTGGTAGACAACAGTGTACAGGGATCTTGAATATCAACTCCATCATCTTTGTTCCGTGTATTAGTATGGTATTATACCCTCTGTATCTATCCCATACATTGCAGCCTTCATCTTCTTCGTTTCTTGTATTTACCGATTTTTCAACTACAGAGTTCTTGTTTCTTTTTTTAAGAAACTTTATTTCAGCTAACCTGGCAAGCTTTATTGAATTTACTTGCCTGACACAGAAATAATCTTTGCTGTTTTCACCCAGCTGTAAAACAACAACAAACAAAAACAAAAAACAAACAACAGAGAAAAAAAAAAACAACAAAAAAACCACACTAACTTGAAAATATGAACTGCAGTCAAGAATGAGTGTATAAACAGTCTGAAGCATAGCAACTTTCCACAGGTCACGGCAACAGTTTGCAGCCAAGAGCCAGAAGATGTGTATGGCATAGTTTGGAGAGTAGGTCATAGACAGGGGACTCCTACTACTTAATTTGGCGTGTGTATGTTGCTGTGTATCATAGTGACCTGTTTTCCACTGGAGCTTGAGCTCTCCCACAGCTGCCTTTCCATTAGCAGAGCCAGTCCCCTCAAGGCAGTTTCAGCAACAGGAGCTACAGGTGGCTGCTGAGGAGCAGTACCTCGACTGTAAGCCACAAGCTGATCACTTCTCATTGATTTCTTCCACTCCACACCTGTTTTGAAGGAATAACAGTTTGGAGATGAACCTGAAAATGAATCTGTCATGTTAATGAACAATGCTAGCCTCTGAAGGACAGGAAAGTGTACTTCACTGTAAGTGTATGAAGATTCTCCTTGAAAAGTCACACTTGTACATTACACGTATGTATTCCATTACCTTAAACAACAGTTATAAGCACACATATTTTTGAAGAACAAGATCATTGTCAGTACTTACTTTTTGATCCTTATTGCATGAAAATACAATTGTACAAGCTGTCTGAAATTTGTTATGCCTCCCTCCATATTCCCCAGTGCTTTGAAATTTATGGAAAAAAGCACATAGAGTTAACTAGATTCTTTCCTGGTTTGCATTATCTTACATTATCTGCACACTTACATGGGCACAATATTCCCAAGCTAAGATCATTATGGAAGACTTGGTCCTACAAAAATATTTTTGCCAAAAGCCTCTCCTGTTCTGAGATAAACATGATCAGAAACGTCTATGGATTCACAGACCAACTTTGAATAGTTCTTGAATATGTCACATGACCCCATTCATGTTATTATTTCAATCACATGCTTTTATACCTTACTGATTCCTTGTACTGAAACATATTTAAGTGAAATTGATTTCG